AATATATGTAAGCAAGGTTCCGGTTCCATGTGCTTTGGCCGCTCTTGTCCCACTTGCGGAGCCCCGTGATTATAAAAACAATCATAGTATTTGCAATAATTTGCACTGAAACTAATATGATGAAGCCCACACACAATCAGCTGCAGACTTGTTCTAGAAGTCGGGCGCGCTTGAGGGGTCTGGGCTTGCCCCCCCCCCCCCCCTCCCCTGCACAGAAGCCAGCTGGGGCGTGGGAAAGGCGCAAGCAAACCATCCCGAGCTTCGTCGCAACTGGTAGTGCTTATATCATTTCAAATGAGTTTCGTCTTACCTGTTTGAAATATTGAACCGCTGGAGATCGCCTTCCCCCCTGAACCTTGAAGAATCTCTTTCAAGGATAATCATGGCGTACGGAGTACGTACAGCATGACTGAAAGTAGCTCTGTCTATTGTCACCCCCCCCCAGCGAGACGTGCGGATGTAAAACCAACTATCTGAGATGTTGTTAGTCTCATTCTTATGGATGTGTTGTTGTCGTCATCGTCGTCGTCATCGTCGTCGGAGCGCGATGGAAGGCGAACTGTTGATAAGGCTGGTTGGTGTAATGCAAGTCGGTTATGCTTAAGCAACGGCTTGATTGTAAAAACAAAACTAAACGTTGGTCGATGGGAAACTCCGTGAGTGCGTGCGGAGCCTGGGTACATCCGGGCCGTCACGACTTCATTAAGCTCGTGATCATTGGCTCCGGCTACATGAAACAATGATCAGCTCTGCGTGGCTCTATTTCTCTCGAGTGATGCGTTGAAAGAACTGCAGAAACTTGTGCGTAAGCAAGTGTGCATTGTCACGATCCGGTGTGGCTGCTGGCGACACCACAGGGGCCCGGGGCAAACATGCAAGCAATGTCGGTTCCGTATGTACACAATGTGTTTTCAGAGCCGGAAGTAGTAATAATCTGTAGTCTGGTACGGAACAAAGGACAGGGCTCTGTCGGTCATTGTGAATCATTTCTTGGCGGGCGACTGCCACATGGCAAGGCCTGTAATAAAAGGGGGGGGGGGGGGTCAGTTCGTGTCGATTCGTCCCTGTGCCGGCAACGGCCTCGCTCAGCTCACGGCAAGTCGGCAACTGGCGCTCCTATCCTTTCTGGTTCAGTGGTTGGGTCTGAAGTCTGATTCTGTGTCGAAGACGCGTACTGTATTTTGTTCTGTACACCAGAGACGAGTCCATGCAGAAGGAAATTTGTAGATAGATTCACACCGGGCTTGCCCTGTTTTAGGTTGCTGTCTACGGAGTGAAAGGGGTCGTATGTTTGGAGGCCAGACAACGTCAGGATCCATGAACCCCTACATATACATACGGGATGCCATCTCACGGGGCTGTAAGGCCTAATGTGAATGCGGACCGACCGACAGTGGGAGAAAGAGAACAAAATTGGTGGTAAATTTACCGATGGCCTGCCTGAGCAGGTAATACCAGATGGGCATGCATGTCAGACGGCGAGAATGGGCCCAGTTTCCATGGGCCCGAAGGCAAGGTGTCCTCTTGGAATACGAACCGTCCGAGTCGGTCGGCAACATGTTTGGTTGGTCCTTCGGCTTCGGTGCCGTCTTCGCGTCTTTTCTCGGCCGACAAATCCCTTCTCTGGTTGTGAAGCACGGCGTGCGCTAATGACAAACAACTGCCGTCAACGTCTTGATCGAATGCAACATTACGCAGGATCGTACCATCAGCTGCGGTCAGCAGCATTCACTTAATAGTAGTAATACTTATCTGCTGGAATCCTCTTCGTGATGCGAAACCCCGGATTTGTAATCCGTACGGACTACGCATTGGCCAATCGCAACTGTAATAGACTAGACTAGCAGCGGAGCGGGAGGGGTACGAGTGGTGGGGGGGGGGGGGGGGGTGAGGGTACGGAGTAGGCACTTGGGGATTTGTGGTGGGTGGATCCTCACCATTTCTCGCCCTGGTGAGGTTTTGTAGTTTTGTAGTTTTGTAGTTTTGTAGCACGAAACAGGACGCAATGGACGAGCCGGTCTCGTCCACCATGATGCTTGTCAAAATATACCGATTCTCAATGCGCGGTGCAGATAAGAAGTGTTTGTTCGTCTCCGATCGTGCGACGTCCCAACAAGAGCAACGTTCCTGGCCCTTTAACATGCTGAACCTTGAATCTTGCACGAGTCGGGACTCGCCGAGATGGTTGCACCGTGGCCCCGGCCTCCGGCCTTCACAAGCAAGCAAGCAAGCAAGCAAACTACATGCGAAGCATGGAAGCGAGACGGGGCAATGAATGCGTCGTTTTTCTATTGCACGAGTGGCGTCGAGTTTCCCAGCGGTTGCACGTTAGAGTGCCCGTGTCGAGAACGTTGCACCCTTGCTTCCTTGCTGCGGCTGAAGAGCCAGATGAGCTGGCAGACGGATAAGGAGAATCACAAGCAGTCGTCACTTGCATACTACTCCGTGCTCCGTACATTATCGCCAATCTGACGTCTTTCACTGGGGGGCCATCCACGTGTTGACAGCCACAGGGGCACATGCAAGCTGCACGGACCAACTGATGGAGCGGCGTGGACACGAGATTAGCGTACAAGAGCGTATCACTACTCCGTATACGGAGTACGGAGTACGGATTCCTGTACGAACCGATTGTAGAAGTACTGTAAGTATGTGTGTCTTCGGACCAGACAACCACTGGTTACATCGAACAATGAACGAATGTCGTGGCACATCAGACGGGGAGGGACGCCAGGAGGGACGCCAGGAGGGTCGCCAGGAGGGACGCCAGGAGGGACGCAAGGAGGGGTCGTGCAAATACAACGATGCACAAACATTGTCATCAGCAAGTGCTCGAAAAAAAGACAAACCCCCGATGAAATCAATGCCACGTGCAATGAAGAAAACACAGGCGCGATCTGTGGGAAAGTTCCTCAACTTATTTTGCAAGTTGGCTTGGAATTGGTATCGGAATCGGAAGGAGGCACCCCGCAACTGCATTTGAACTGCCAGCATCTCCTGCTCGAAGCTGCCGTTCAAGACTCCTACCTGCCTTCCCAAGGCAAAGTTTGGCATTGACAGGCCCTGCTCCGAGTTGGACTCCAACCTGATCTCTTTGGCATGGAAAGTCAGCATGAAAGTCGACGCGAATGATTAAAATTTCACTGCCAAACAAATGTTTCTCCTCGTGTCTAGACATAAGTTGAGCAATATACGTGAATCCACTACGTTCGATACTGATTTGACCAAAATGTCAGAAAAGGGAGTGTTCTGACACGTAAGCAAGGTGTCGGTTTTTTATTGTCAATGCTTATTGTGGGTGCACGAGCTTGAGTCCGTCCGAGGCCAGGGCTTTTTGCATTGACAGAGAACGACACGATGATGGTTCCATGTTGCGATGTCATGATTCGACGAGAAGGCGCTCACCGCTCGTCAGCACTCCAGATGCCCCCTCTGGGTCTTCAGGCCGCTGTCAAACCGTTTTCCTGGGTTACCGACGATCAGGTATCCAGGCAGACTGGACGGGCGCATGGGCGCCGCATGGGGCGCCGCGTGGCAACTAACTGTGTCATCATCTCAGCATTTAATGGAAATCAGACCTGTCATTTCTCGGAGAACTCTGATTAAGATAGCTGCGCACTTCGCGCTGTCTTGGTTCTAGTCTGTCCTGTTAGCATCTACATGTACTAATAAGCGCGACTCATGGATGGGCACTTGGATCCATGCCGTGCATGTCCTGAATCAAACCACGTCCCCAAGGAAGTAAGAGCCGAGAAGGCAGGGCATGGCCAATAATTGAGCAACGCGAGCCCGCCCCTGGTCCGATCTGTCGTGCTCAGTTGACATCAATCGAAGGTGCTTAATCAGTGCAAATACCGCTGCAGCCACCACAAATCTCTGACCAGGGAGCTGGCTGGTCGTCAAGGTTGTATATTTGTATTACTGAACATTTACAATGTTTTTTGTGGTGGGTAGGCTGGGCCCCTTATTAAACACGTGTGTTCATGTGCTCAGTTTCTGTCTTGTTGTAAGGAACTCTCCATGGCCGTGGGTGGCCGTGGCAGCACCACCGTGAATCTGCTATAGATGCGGGCTTTGTCTTCGTTTGTCTTCGTTTGTCTTTGTTTTTTTTTTGTTTTTTTTTAGGATCAAGTACTGCCTGTCAGGCACTGTTCATTGTATAATGCTGATAAATGCGCTCACATGTCGCAGGGGCATGAATGGGCGACCCCTGTTTTGCTCTCACACGTGGCATATGTATGTATGTATGTATAATAAATAGCCTAAGTAGGACGTCTCGTGGCAGATTCCGGAATTCGGGCGCAACATGTAAGTCAGAACTCAATAACGTCCGATATGTCCGGCTTGACCGACAAACTGCAACTCACTCATTCGGTCCCATTATCTGTACTCCGTACGGATTACATTGTACATGAATGACATGGCCAGAACAATACTGAAAGCGTTCGGTGCTGGATTGAGGTCGTCGCCGCCGGAACCTCACGAAATGCCAGATCCACTTGTTTGCGCCCCCAGCGAATGTTCGGTGAACCAATGTTTGTCCAATGCTGCTGCGTAGATGGAATAGAGTCAGATGCCGGCCGGCCATGAGCAGCTTCTTGTCCGCGTCAATCGCGCCATCTATGCTAAATTTTTTTTCCTGCTGCGCTTCTGCATAACTACCTGGACTCGGAGATGCCGATGCGTCAACCCGCAGCTTCCGACTATGTGCAGTAGGTTCGGCCAGAAAGTCTGCAGACCCGAAATGCTATTCATGTTTGAGGCCGTCCCCCCAGCAGTGGTTGCCCGTTGACTGTTTTGTTTTGTTTCCTGGCAGCTTTCATTATCTAGTGCTCTTTTTGGCGTAGTGCCATCCCGTTGTACTTTTTAATTATGGCTCTGAACCTCAAGGCCATGGCAGCTGAGGGGAAAAGAAGAAGAAAAAAAGAAAAAAAGAAAAAAAAGAGGGGGGGCTGTGGAGCCAAAAAAGTACATAAGCACAATCGCGCTTCTCATTGGGAGGTCCGGACCCGGATTTGAACCGGGGACTTCAGGATTTTTGTCGCCTGAGTTATCCAGGGAGCAACGCCAATTGCAATCCTACACGCTACACGCTAACTGCTGCGTCACCCGGACAAGGGTGAAAATTTCGGGGTCAAAAAAAAAGCAGCATTCATTATGCAAACGAAACTTACTGATGATTATCCACATTCACCTAACTTGCTACACTCCCCCCGGGACTCGGAGACTCCGAACTTGGCGGAAACAATGGGCTTGTGTAATATGTATGTACGGACTACGCAAATAGATTCGGACAACCCGTTTATCAGGCAAACCATTGGCAATAGTTGACTCCCCTTCCCAGGCTGTCATTGTTTGACAAAGCACTAGGTGTTCCCTTTTTTTTTTTTTTTCCTTTCCAATCCTCTTTTGAAGCTTTGATATTTTATTGGGGTCTAACATGAATTGCACAGACGGCATGTACATCAAGGTTCGGGTTTCTTAATGCTTCTCATATTTCGCTTTACTTCACCTTCTAGTCAAGACTACTCCGTATGTACTTACTGCATCTTTCCGACTATTGCACAAATCTTGAGATGGTGCCAGGATGGCCACCCTTTCTTGCATGTATTCCTACCTTTCTGTCCGAGTAACAACCACCCCTCCCCCCTCCCCCCCTGGCGTCTCTTTACCTTTTTTTTTACCTTTTTTTTTTTTTTTTTTTTCCGTTTCTGAAATCCCATGAACCACGCCATGATGCAAGCCGTCATGTAAATGACCCCGCCTGCCGAATCCTTCCTAGGCAACAAGAACAAGTAACAACGGCCCATCGCTCTCATCGGCCTACCGGCCCACCGGCCTACCTTTTGCCCATTTTTCCTTCAGACGGGGCGGGATTCTTGGGGTGCACAGGCCCAGGGGGTGTGCGGGTTGCAGAGTCATTGTTGAACTGGAACCTGAACGTCGTGCCGGACTAGAAACTACAAGTTAGTAAGACTGATTGTTAAATCTCCTGGTTGCCATGACCACTGCAGCAATACTAGGCGAAAAAAAAAAGGAAAAAAAAAAAGCAAAAGCAAGGGGGAAAAAAACACAAAAAGAAGGATGCCTAAATGCCACGCGAATCTCGACAAGGGATTGCAATATTCATCATAGGCTTCCCCGAATGCCGCGCTTTCTCGGCCAATCCGCCCCCCTCCCCGCCACGTATGTATGTACATCATCCATCATCCATCGATCCCATCCCGTCACGTTCATGTCATGCCAAACGCTACCGAAAGGCGAACGGGGAAAAGGAACAATCAGCAATTGCTCCAGTCTCGGCCGGCAGGATTCTCCAATGCAACGCAACGTGCGGCGTTGGCGCGCAGCCATCGTATTTTCTCGCACATGGGTATGTATGCTCCCGGAGGTTCAACAGGGTAACCCAACCCCCCTTGCTTTCACTGTAATTTTCCTCTTTTCCATTTCTAAAAAAAAAAGAAAAAAAAGAAAAAAAGTCTTCTCACTCTCGTCTACGCCGACCCAATGAAATGGCCTTGAAGCACGACCCAGGACAGCAGGGGTTGAGATTTCACAAACTACAATCAATCCATCCATCCCCCTTGTTCCAATTCTCGTTCGGCCGATCCGAAGTTTCTTCTAGACCAATTCCCCGTGCCGTGTGGCTTGCGATAATGGGGCCATCCCCCATGCTCTTCGCGGAGCCAGTCCCATTATTCTTGTTTTCTTCTTCTTCTTCTTCTTCTTCTTCTTCTCTACCCGCGTCAAGTCCCGGTTGGCCGAACTGTTGGCGCGCAAAGTTTTCCAGAAGTTTTGGCTCCTCTGTGGACACCCAGAACGTGTCATGACGTGGGAAACACGTGGCAAGTCTTGAACCAATTCTGAGATACATACACCCTACGTGTACGGATTAGTCCCCCAGAATTCTGAAACCATGAGAAATGGAGTGATTCTACTTTCTGAATGTCCCACTGTCCCGCAACTTGCTTCTATGACTATCAGTAACGCGCCATCTTCTGTGCCCAATCTCAATAGATGAAATGAATTGCAATATGAAACCAAACGCCGACGCTTCCTTCTGTTTTGTCGAGAATGTGCCCTCTTCCTCAAGACCCCACCTCGCCTCGAGCACTCACCCGCAATCGTCCATATCGTCCATATATGATGAAACACCATGATGGGAAATGGAAAACGCTGAGCGCAGCATGGAACAGCACCAGCACCATCAATGCCAGTCTCGCATCAGTCTTTATATCGACGTCGGTGCCGAATCGTTTCGCCACCCCTTGTTCCGCATGTTCGTCTCAATCGACTTCCAAATCTGTTCCACAACCTCCTTGTCCCTGAATCGAGAGGCATCTGCGCCGTCACCCCCACGCCATCGATCAACACCCGTAGAAAGAACTCTTTGCCCCCAGCTGCGAATGCTGTCGGGAACCTGGTCTCCTCGCCAGCCTACGTACACGCCTAGTGTATGCTTGAACAGTTCGCTGGGACTGCTCCATTTGTAATTCTTGAACTGCCACGTCTGCCCGGTTGTGAAGACAGCCACCACGCGGTTCCAGTATTCCGGCTTGAACTGCTCAGAGCCCTCGACGAGAATGAATCGCAGGGGGCGGTTAGGGTCGATGGCTCGCATGACACGCTGGACGTGGAGCATACTGGCCGTCGAGCCGCTCGCATCCGCGGGCACGAATTTGCCGTCTTCGAGGAAGGATCGCGCATTGGTCATTCGGAGCAGTGATGAGGCCGATGGCGATAGAAGAATAATGGGATCTGGTCTCCTGGTAGGTCCCTTTTGGTTGATTGATAATGATGATGATGGGCCAGGTGCTGAGAGTGGTTGCGACTTCTTCTTGATGAACGGAGCGGCAAGCTTGCGCACGTGTGAGAAGTCCTATCGTTTTTGAATAGTTAGAAATAGTCGTGCATGTCTGAGTATTATTTCCCGCCCCTTGAGTTGGTTTGTTCTGAGAAGAGGTAAAATCCCCATGGGTCCAAATACATACCGTAGGCTTGATGCCCCTTAGAACTGTATTCCTATCACCCATCCTTCGCTCGCCATCGTACACGCTGGCTAGCCTTGGATCCAAGGTGCCCTTTCCTGCTCTCGCTTGAGCAGCTGTCGACGCGGCACCAGGCTTGGATGCTGGAGCAGCACCAGCACCGGCGGCATCGGCATCTCCCGCCACAGGTTTTATGTATTCGCTCTCTTCACTCGCGCCCTCCAGCCAGGTGATCAGATCGAGACGTTCGATGAACCCCAAGTTCTGCACCTTGCCGGTGGATCCAGCAGCGGCAAGCTGATCGTTGAGCGTTGTGGCAGAGGCATTGTATTCGGGAATGGCAAGTTCGCGATTCAGCCACGCAAAGTAAATACTACGCAGATCGACGGGTTTGTCATTGGAAATGAAGCGCGTCGGTGTGTCGATGGCGAGGGCGATGCCTTGGCTCGAGAACTGCAGGTGGGTTGCTTGGGCGAGTGGTGACTCGTCGGCGCCCGGGTCATCCGAGGCGCTGGGGACAAATGGCTGGCTGCTGGAGATGGCTTTGCGCAGCAGGAGGAGAGGATCGTGTTCGGCGTTGGCCATGGCGAAGGAGTTGAGTTGAGAAAGCGATTAGATGCGAAGTAGAGGAGAGTAATCTAAAAGGTAGAGGACCAGGGGCAGCTGCACTGGCAGTCTGCGAGGGGGTAGAACAATGACGATGACACGATAGTATGCCCACGGATTCAGACCATTGGCACGGATCGAAAGTGTCGGAGGATGGGCTGAGTGACCAAGAAATGCGAGGCGCGGTCGTCGGCTGCAGAATAATACGTGAATCTCGTGATGGAGAGCTTTGCGCAAGTCCGGTCTGGGATGTCTGGGATTGAGAGCTGTCTCCACTGCTCGGCCAATCAGACAGCACAATCTGACTTGACCCAAGTTCATATGCACGACGGCCTACCCTAAAATAAACGCCAATTCTCGATTCCATTACCATCATCAACGCCAGGAAAGAGCTCTCTTACTACATTGATCCAACAAGCCCGTTCTAAAGCCTGTTAATATGAGCGTCCTGACGAGTCCGTCCGCTCACGTGAATAACAATCTCCCTCCCCCTTTGTGACTGTCAAGTTTCTCAACACCAAGACTACTAGAGGGGAAGCGGGAAGCTGCCACATGGCTCCTTTCCCTGACTTCTGCAGGTGCTTTTATCAGGGATCGCTCCACTATCTTCAATGATGAATGAACTCCATGGCTCTGAAAGTTTACATGTCTGTTTTGCAATGTTGGATGCGAGTTGGCTCCTTCCTCTCTTAACTGGCAACGACTCTCACCACCTCTGAGGTTATCACCTCACGGCCAACACACAAGGGGGTTGGTTTTGTTTCGAACAAGTTATATCCTGGACACCGGATCTTGGCCAATATTACACTGCACTTTGGACCGCGAGCGGCGATCACCTTGGCATCAGAATCCACGGAAGACCTACGCTTTGTTGGAATAACTGCAGGCACGATCCTCCCAACGTCACTTAGTGTAAAAATAGAATGCCGAAAAAGTGACCTTGGCAGCTCCTTAACTTCCGTAGGATGCTTCAACTAGGCATCGCTCCGCTTTCTAATAAGCCTGCCTTTTCACTTATGTATCTAGAGTCGTGTGAAGGGGTTTTCCAATAATGGGCCTGGTGTGTTTGCTTTCTTTGGCTGTTTTAGAGCGCTTCTTTTAAAGAGCTACTAATAAAGTAAGTCAAAATGAGAACTAGACCTTGTGTTTTCTGCAATTCACATGTGCTTTCTATCTCCTTGCACGGAAATGTCAAATAAAAATGCGAGTAATTTCTACAACACGCTCGGATCGACATAGAACTAGAAAAGAGAAAGCAACGGGTCTAAGGTGAATACTGTTCAAATAATCTATGGCGTTAATCTCGCCATCACTAACCCCATTTCCATTAGAACCATTTGATGAAATCTTCTATGCCTCGTACGTCCCTTTTGCCGAGCTATTTCTTAACTTTCCGTCATTAGTAACATATCACACTGTTACCTTTCTTTCACTTCGAGTAGGGCTACAACGCTAGCACTCCTGACAGCTATTCACAACCGCGACCCTCCGTTTGCTCATGAAAATTTCCTATGATATTGC